AAAAAAAAAAAAAAAGGGCTGAGGTTCTGAGCATGTATTCTCCAAAGATACACAGACATGAGAAGATGCTCAACATCAATAATTATTAGGGAAATGCAAATCAAAACCACAATGAAATGTCACCAAACACCTCTTAAAATGGCTGTTATCAAAAAGACAAGTATTGGAGAGGATGTGAAGAAAAGAAAACCTTTGTACATTGTTAGTGGGATTGTAAATTGGTATAGTCAATATAAAAAGCAGTATGGAGATCCCTGAAAAAGTCAAAAACTATTAAATAACCCAGTTATTCTTCTGGGTATCCAAAGTATTCAAAAACATTAATTCAGAAAGATACATGCCTCCCTATATTCACTGCAGCGTTATTTACAAGAGCCAAGATAAGGAAATAGATTAATCTGTGTCCATCAATAGGTGAATGGGTAAAGATGTGGTATGTATATATGCCCACGCACATACATTGGAATACTACTTGGTCACAAGAATGAAATCTTGCCATTTGTGCTAACATGGTTGTATATTGAGGGTATTATGCTAAGGAAAATAAGTTGGAGAAAGACAAATACCATATGATCTCACTTGTATGTGGAATCTAAACAAAAGAGATTTACGGGTTCAGAGAACAGACTAGTGGTTACCAGATAGGAGAGGGGTTTGGTGGGTGGATGAAACGGATGAAGGGGTTCAAATGATTGGTACTGGACGGTAACTAGGCTTGTGGTGATCATTTTGTTGTGTATACAGATACCACATTAGAAAGCTGTACACCTGAAACAGAAAAAGACTGAAGATTTATATAATATTTTTAATGGTGGCCATAGCTTACACAATTGACTTATGTTTTAAAATTATAAACATTTGAGTGAACATTAAACATAAATTAACCTCTGTTATAGTTACAGTGGACTTCATGAAAAAAAATCTTACTGTTAATTATTTCCTTATCAGCACCAGATTTCAGTTTTACCTATGGTTCCTCTCTGGGGCACCACTGTCTGTTCAGTAATAAAACAATAAATAATTTCATTGCACAAGTTTGAAGACCTCAGGAACCAGGTCAGAAGGGAAAATCTGGTTAGCAGCAGAATCTGTTCATGTTTGGTTGCAGAATGGTGGCCGACTCTGGGTGGGGTGGGACTTGCTATGAGTTTTTGAAGAGTTTACTTCACAGTACCAGAGATGCCTCTTGAAGAGATTTTTGGATCCATTAGATTTGTATATTGTAAAGAACATCTTGCACAACAGTCTGATTTGAACGTGAAGTGAGAAAATGGTCAGCTTTTGAAATACACTAAGCAATTCTTGGAAATAATTTTTGAAGGGAACAACAGTTACCACAAGGGAGCTTTCAGGCAAATGTGGAAAATTTGTAAGATATGAGTTAAATAGTGACAGTCACAAACCTTCCTGAAATCTTGGAAAATGTGCTCAGAATATGGCACCTACTGTGAAAAGCTATGTGACTATTGGCAAAGTCCAGAAAGGTCTATAGGGAAAAAAGATCACCTTTCACAAAAAATGGAAAGGTAGCCTAGGTAAGAACATGAATTCTCCAAAAGTTTGCAAACCAAATCAGGCAAGACAGGAAGAATTTTAAGGCATACCCTGCAAAGACCTCCATAATCCCACAGAGGCTGTTTTCATATGATGCTGAAGATGACAACACACAACATGTACTATGTGCCAGGCCATGTTCTAAATACTTGAAATATATAAATATTTACAGAAAGAAAAGCTAACCAGCAGTTTTTGATTCTGTAGGGCCCTGAAAGGTACATTAAGGGGCAAAAAGCACATTATAGACAAATCATTTTTTTCTAAGAAAAATTCTCATTACAAATTTCCCTTGAAATGGATAAATTGGTTAATTCTTCACATTTTCCCGTCAAGATTATCAGAATATATGTAGATACATTCCTAGAATCACAATGCATCTATCCAAGAGTTCTGAAGGTATTTGGGATGACTGAAGGCGTCTGCTGAATATGTGGCCCTCGTTTATAAAAGCTTCAGATACGCCATGGTGATAAAGACCAGGGAATCTTACCTGTTGGGGATAAGTTGGAGGAGTCTAGTGAACGCAGGTTACCCCTCAGGAAAACAACTTGGTTTCTACTAGAGGAAATGGTCTTTCCCTAATCACACTGAATAACACTTAGTGTGGGATGACTGGTTCTAGCACCCTACTTTTTTGACAAAGATGGTGAGGGGTCTAGAAGCTATGTCGACTGTTAAAGAGACCACAAAGGACTTAGAAGTTTTTTTCAGAAGACTGAAAGGCCATGGAAGAAGGGATTAAAGCAGAACTAAGACCAGTGAGAAGATAGGTAGATTTCAGCCCAATATGAGGAGGGTTTTTTTAAAAAATCAGTGCAGTTCAAAAATGAAATGAGCTGAGAACATGCCTAAACAGAAGCTGAATGATAACCAGTTAGAAATGTTAAGGGAATACTGCTTACAACTCTAAATTTAGATTCTATTATTTTACTATGTATTAGCATTTTTTAAGGATGACAATAGGTATAAAGTTGACTTCAGTATAATAAAGGCCACTGTGAAGAATCTGAATAAATCCCACACTATTTTTAAAGAAAACAACTCAGATTTGTGGGATGAGGATACAGAAGTTTGCCTAGCTACATGCACATATCAGATGTTAAATAATGACTTAAGGAAATAACTTTAAAAATAAAGGTTCCCCAGAACAGGTGTGAAGGCCAGGTATACTTATCTTTCATGAGAGAGCTGAAAGGGTCTACTGTGAAAGCTGTAAGTTGAGGAGATAGAAACTGCTGGAAAGAAGCTGGAGGTAAAGGGCAAAGGCAAACGAAGCTATTTCAAGTCCAAAAGTACGAGTGGTAGACAAGCAGCAGATGGTAGCGATGTGCAAAAGTACAAGATAAGAAGTTTTGGGGAAAGTAATGTACAAAATCAAGAGTTTTGAGCATTCAAAATGAGAATGCACTGTATCGATGTGGGCCAAAATGACTGACCATATCAAATGTTAGGTATCATTGAGAAGGGTATCAGAAACCCTGGGACTTGACAAATAAGTTACAGGATGTTAGCTAAAACGACTGGGGCCAGGTCAGGAAGAAATGCTAAAAATGCAGAGAATAAAAGGACAAACTGAAAGGGGATGTGGCCAAAACCTAGATCCTTGAATAGCACAGCCACAAGCCTCTCACCACAGACCAGAAGCTAGGGTATAGATGTCTTTCTTAGAAATAATAAAGAAAACAAGTTTAGGATGACAAATGACTACAAACTCATTAGCCCAGTGGTAGATACTGACATGGGATACACACACATTCCTAATCCCAGCATTGACTGATAACTTGTTGATTAAAAGGTATTCTATACAAAGCAGCCACACCCTCCCAAAACTTGTCCCCAGGGACTGAATGGCCTCCTTTCTTAAGGCTGGGATCTATATGGTTAGGAGTTAGTTTCCATCCTGCTAAGATTTAGGATGGCTCTTAGCTGGCTCACTGGAGCTGGCACAAAGCAGGACCACACACTTTCAGATATGGTTACCTTCTTTTTCCCCCTTGAATTGCACATAAAAAGCAAAGCCAGTATTTTTTCTCTCTTTTGTATGGGAAGTGGTTAGAGATAAGGACCAGACAGGGCAATGTGTAAAGAGGGGAAAAAAACGTGTTTTATGTTATGGGATTGCAATCAGTTTACTATGTAAGATGAAAATTAGTATGTTCAAAGGAATGAGGCACTCAAAAGGTTGAAATGAGATTTTTCTTTGGTTCCCAGGGACCTGTCCCCAGGCTACCCAAGGTTAAGTTCTAAAGCTGTTCCTTTTGGCTCTGTGTGACACACAAGGAATCACAAAAATTTAGACTCTGGTGCCAGCTGTGTAACCAGAATGGTTAGGTAACAGTTCACATTATATCTGTAAAATTAATTAAATCTAAATCTCAAGATTCAAGGGGACAGACCTGTCACAAAAGCCCCTTCCTCCTGATGATGTCAGTTGCTGGGCTTCAGTCCAGGCTGACCCCAGACTAGCTCAGAACATGACTTGAGTCCTCCTTCTACCTTTAAGTAGACTGCTGGTGAATACAGGCCTCAGAAGAATGGCTGGACCTCAGTGAGAGATGCCCAGAGACTGCAGCAGGTGAAAGGTAGCCCCCAAGGCCCAGCCTGTCTCTATGTTGTTCACTTTCTTTGTGAGCTGTTGGAGAAGAGAAAAAATTAGTCTTCACATTTGCATTCAACTTTCAAATCTAGTAAGCATGACGGCAGAGAATACATGCAAAGATCAGTCACATGGCTAAACAAAGGTATAATTGGGAGTAGCCAGATTGGGGAGGCTTCCTCCTGCCTCTCTCTGTAACAAATTTCTCTCCTGCCATGGCCTATTGCTCCCACACCTGCCAATCTAAGCCTTGAATCTCCTGGCGCAGGAAGTGGTCTCACCCCAGCCTTCTAGACAGGATCTTTTAGACAGGCTTCTGAACTCTTTCCCTAATCCTGAAACTCAATATAACAGGAGTTGGGACTAGATTTAGGAGAAGGAAAGAACATACTAAACCTCTCAATTCGTACTTGGTAAACAACTGCATTTTAAGCACAAATAACCAAGGAAGGCATTTAAGGCCTAGGCGAGGCTATGCCTTAATCAGGTCAGTGACACTGGGCAAAAGCTTAGACCTGATTTCCTCAACTACATACAAGGGGATTAGATTAGATTATCAAACTGTTCTCTTCAGAACCCACTTCCAGGGGTTCCAAAGAATTGCTTCAAAGGACAAAGGGTGCCCTACCTCTGCTTCAATTAGGTCCACTTTTATCAGTTTTACTGGCATTCTTTATAAATAAGCTTTTGTTGAATAAAAATGTCACCACCACCGTCACACACACACATACACAAAAGGTTTAGAAGCCAATGGATTGGTTTTAGTCTTCTATTACCAGCTTCTTATGACACAATACTTCTGGGTTAACCTGAAAAAATCTAGTCTAGTCACTCTGCCAGAAACTGAGAAGAATGGCATGGGAATCACTGTGAGGGATTGAGACATCTGAGTCAAACTGGAAGTGTCCTCAACCCCCTCCCACCCACTCTAAATGCTCCTCTGTCCTCAGAACTGGGCTGGACCGCCAGCCTAGGAATATAGATGCTTAAGGGAGTGATCTCTGGAACAGGGGACTGTCCACTCTTCATGTAAGTTCTGCTGCCACTGAAATCATAGACTAAAAACATGCCAGCACTGGAAGTGGCAGACAGTTGTCCTTAAATGACTTGGATTATTGTTGCTGCTGAAGTAGAGGATGTTGTTAATTTAGTATGTACAGAGTGCTTAGGATGACCTCTCTTGTCCACAAGTCTATCCCCAACTGGTGTGAAATGCCTACACTAATAGTAATACCAATATTAATAACTTACCATGTCCCAGGCATGGTGCTTTACATGAATTGTATCTTAATTTTCCTAACAACCCTATGAAATAGGTACCCTGTTTTGGATGAAGAACCTAAAAGTTACAGGGGAAATACATCATCCAAAGTCACAGAGTTAGTAAACTTGCAGAATCAGAACTTGAACCCAGATCTGATGGACTCCAGAGCCATGCTTTAAACACCATTCTCTACTGACTCTACTTACAATGAACTCTTCTGTGTTAAGTACTTTAAATGCAATATTCTTGGCAGATACAACACATTCAATCTAAATACTTTAGTACAAATGGGTTTATGAAATCTGTGTAACATAATAAATGGGATAATAGAAACTCATCTGGAGGGAACAGGAAGGGGCAGTGGTGCCAGGGAAGGTTGGCAGGGCGAAGGGCAGGGGTGCTTCAATACCAAAGTACTCACCCCACAGTTAAGAGTTGCCTGTGCCAGACCTCTCTTTTTGTCATATCCCCTCTAATAGACTATATGCTGAGGACAAGATTACACCTTAAACATTTTTGTAGCCATAAGGTACAATCACTCAATTATGGTATAGAAGAAAATAAATGGGGTGGATAAAATGCATTAAGAAGTGCTTAGAATAGATAAATAAGTTACTACAGGTAAAGTTGAGCCTTCATGTGCTAAACAGATGGACAGAGATAGGAGGGCAAAGAGGGACCTAAGACTCATGAGACACTAAATATACAAGGCACATATAAAATATATATGGCATACTACATATTCACAAGGCATTCAATAATCATGAGATCTTAAATAAGCTACTCAAGGTGACACCTTCTGTTCCCTCATGTCTCCTGGCAAATCAAACCATAAATGGGCCAATAAGTAAGCTTAATGCTATCAGCCCTGTGCCTCTCCAAATAGAGCAAATTTGTGTGGTGGTCCAGACACCTGTCTTGTGCCCCCTTGATCACAACCTTCAGCTCTAGTACTTGTAACCACACTATCAGCAGCAGAGAGAGAGGCAACATATGAACCCAGGATTCAGGAAATGTGGCACTCCCAACCTGTTGGAAGATTTTGAAAGAAAAGCCAGGGAAGGTAAGTGTCAGTGCAAGCTCTTGAATATTCTATCCTGTGTATTCACCTTGTTTCCTTCTTGCTCTGTATTTTGAAATTGATTTAATAAACCATGTGACTTGGCATCTTAGTTTCAGCTCCAAGCCTTTCTGCTCTGTCATCTCTGGAGTAGCTTGCCTGGTAATATACTTAGAAGCTGCCATTGCATCACAGCAATTCCCCACATTCTTGGTGCCTTGTACAATCCCTTGTCCACAGCCCTAATAAAAGTACCTCATAATTCCATCAGTAGCCACTCTGATTATTACACAAGTTCTTAACTCTTCCCATCCCAAATAAGGAGACTGTTAGGAGGTTCCAGGGCCCTCTCCTTTACCTGTAAGACAGTACTGTCTGCAAAACCAAAGCCGTCCTTCAACAAGGCTGTGATGTAACTGAGATCCATGCACAGGAAAGGACTGCCTGAGGAGAATTTTTCCAAGTTATCACACACTGAAGGGAAAAAAGAGTATAGAGTAGAATTAAAATATGCAGCCAACTGAGAGGTGCAGTATTTTCTTGAAATACAGACTTACAATAAGTCAAGTAGAATTCCTGATTTGGTTGATGCCTGGGTGTCTTAGAGACCAGAACTGTGCACCAACAGCCTCTGCAAGACTGCAGTGTCATAAGAACTGCCTGTTTCTGATGTCATAGTTCATCTACTCAAATGTGCACAGGCCCTAATTTATTTACTAGATTTCTATGACCTATTGTTGGGGCTTAATTCAAAATGAGTCCCTTATATATTACTAATGCTGAGGCCCAGAAGATAGGGACATGCCAGTTAGCCCTACTTTGGGGCCACTGGATAAGATCATCTTTTTTTTTCAAGGGACTCTCTCAAGGAAGCTCTGTGATTATTTCCCATATATTTTGGTGCTCCATGTTTCACTGACACTAATAACACTATTTCAATTTTTTTTTAAAGGGAAGAAATACAGAAAGAAGAAAGGTTCTCATTATTTCCCCAAAGCTTATTGTATTCTCTTATTTTTCTATGTCACTTAACTTAATGCTTTTAAATCCTGGCAAAGACAGGAAACCAGCCTTCTGAGGGGCTGACTGTGGTGCTTCAGGTCACTTTAAGGTCACTGGAATTGGCAAGCACAGCCTCACAGGCTTGTCTTCAAGGGCTTCTACTGACACTTACCTTCCCTGGCTTTTCTTTCAAAATCTTCAACTTTTAAAACACCCCCCTTTTCATAATCTGAAATAGAACAATAGCTGATGTCAAAAAGCCTTTAAGAAAACATAAGGAATTTCATCCTAGTGATATTTTTAATAATGAGATACTAGAAATAATATTTCCAACATTAGAGAAAGGGATAAACAAACATGACATATCAATATAATATAGTCTATGCAGTTGATATTATTTATAATTATGTATATTTAAGCACAATTTTAAAAATTCAGTCATTAAAAAAAAACATTAGAAAGTAGGAAATTGACTCATATCTCAGGCCATGACAGATCACATACTGTATCCTGACAGCTACATATTACTGTTTTATAGCCAGAAGCATCACTATTATGATAAGGAAAAAAAAGTTATAAAGGAGGAGGAAGAAACTTTTTGGAGTAATGAGATGTTCACTATCTTGAATTTGGTGATGGTTTAATGGGTATATACATATGTCAAAACTTAGCAAATTGTACACTTTAAATATGTGCACTTTATGTTAATTACACCTCAATAAATGTATACTTTTTAAAAACTTCGTATGTATTTCTTTAGGACATCTTCTAGCTCCAAAAGATTCCAAATCTTATTCTCCCTTCCATTTGAGTAACAAGTGTCACTCAACAGCCAGTCCTGGAGAAAAGGAGGGTTGATCACCCCTGACAACATTTCAGTGCTCTTTTCTCCCTATCCCTTCCCCACCACGGCATGGCCCAGTTTCCTCCCTGGACTGATACCTGGAGCAAACTTACCAATCATATCTGTGTCAACGGCTCTATCATAATAGTAAGAGAAAGCATAGAAGGAGCTTCTCTGGACCTCATCTGGCTGGTGAAGTTTTCCTTGGACCACCTTCTGTACTTCAGTGTAGCAGGGCTCAAAGCCCATCTCTCCTGCCAGGGAAAGGTACACAGGGACAAGGTGAGGAACAGGACAGCTCTCTGAGGCAGGATCTGGAGCCTGCAAAGAAACAGCAGGATGACCAAGGAAAGCAAAAGGCTGAGGCTCAGAACACAGGGCTCACAAACACACATCAGCACACCTCCGCTGCCTCACTCCTCTGGAAGAAAGGTACCTGCTTCTCTGTGGCAGCTCTCCTCCCTAAACTGTGTTCACCAAAAAGAGTCACAGCCGACCTTGAGCTGCTGCTGAGCATTATGTTTCATATTTATGAAAAGTATCCAGAAGGCTCACCTGCTTCCTCCACTGAAAAAATCAAGTTTTTTTCCTAATTTTAAGTCTATGTCTTTTATAATACCTAAGATGAAGTATTCTTCCTATCATCTCAATTTTAAGTTTTATTATAACTTAAATAACTAAACATTAATTGAACCTGAAACAGCAGGCCAGGGAATAACAGCTGCCTTGTTTGCTGTCACTTCACATTGTTCTTCGGAGGCATACCAAGATGGATTTGGAATGAGTCTCTACATAAGATGAACTGCTTTTGAGCTCTGGAAAGTGTTTCCCATGGGACTTTAACAGACTTCTCCTGGAAATTATTTCACCAAGTAAAAAAAAATCATTTGCCTTCTTGATTGCCACCATACTGGTACTTCACGCCCCCAAAGATCCATTCTGCTTCCAACCACCTCGGTAGACAGGCACTTCGGAAAGTGTGTCCCTCAATACCTGAAAGAAAACCAGACCACAAAGTAAGAGGCAAGGATGTGAGTAAGTGAGTGACAGAGAGACTGGGAGAGAGGAAGGGTGGGAGGGGAAGGAAAGGAAGAAGCCAATAAGCCTGAAAGAAATTACCATTGTCTGGACCTTAAAATCACATGAAATTAGTTCCATGATTGCAGACTACAACAGAAATGTTAACTCAGGGTTCACAGATGGGCTTTGTGGGGCTGGCACACCCTCTGAAACTATAGGCAAACTTTTGTGCATATCTGCATTTAGCGGAAAGATCCATGACTTTCATCACATCTCAAAATCCAAAACCTAAAATGAAATGATTTCCCTCCTTCCTAAAAAAGGGAAAAATACTGTCCTACTTTCCTCATTGGTTGTTGTGAGGCTTAAATGAAATACACTTGAAGATGCTTTGTGAACTCTGAAATGCTATACAGTCATGATCACAATACTAGCTTCCTGGGAGCCAGGTACCATACAAAGTGCACTAAATGCAAATGTTCATTTAAGGGGAGGAAAGGGGCACAGAATCACAAAATGGGACTGACCACAGTTCTGCTTGATCCCCAAAGCTGAGCTCCTATAACCCTTCTACCACCTCTGAAGAGAAGCAGCAAGTGGCTCAGTTACTCCATCTTGCACATGAAATGATGCTGCTTCCTGCACATCCCAGGCAGAACTAAGAGTTTGAGCAAGCTCCTCCAAATTCACTCTTTGAGCCTTGAATTTCTGCAGACATTTCAGTCTCCTGGCCACAGGCTATTCCTCCTGTATCAACAGACTTCATTCTAAAAATGGCTAAAAGTATATACACCAAAATATCTGAACTCACGAATTTGTTACCACATCCATTATACAACATATGCTCCCTAATTTGGCATAACCCTGTCCTCCACAGAATCACTGCCAAGGAAGGGAAAAAGCGAGCTGAGTGTCGGTGTCACTCTCACCATACCCCACCCAGCACAGGTACCCAGACAAACCTTCTGTTTCCAGGGCTCCCAGGGTTGCTAGTCTTGCAGCTTTCAATCCAAATCCCAAGTAACTGTAAAATACAGGATTGACTAATTTCATGCTGGTCCTGAAGTTCTCCATCCTAAACTACCTCTTTCCAAAGTAACATAGTTTTTCTCTCCTGGAGGGAGGAAAACTTTGTTCTTTGTGATCTATTCATCTTGTGTGGACAAGAAGCACTAATTTCCACACAGTTTAGATCAACATCATGCAGTAAGAACTTTCCACACTATGATTTAAAGGCCAAAGACAGTGACACTTTCTAGAGTCCCATCTTGGGAATCATATCCAGAAAAGCTCTCATTATCTTAGCTCCCAGCCCTGCTACAATCAAATCCAGTGCCAGATTTTGAATGATCTGAAGGCTAGCTCAAAGGAGTAGGCACAAAATTTTGGCTGAACCTTCTCCAAGAAAACTTGACTCTTTAAGTTATATACTTCTGAGGCGAAGAATGGAGAAACCTCTCGGGCCCTAGGGCTTTGGTAAGTGGCTTGGTTTTCACTATTAGGCCTTCAGGCAAATAATACGGGATTGGCAAAGACTTTGTAAGGCTGGTCAGATGAATAATAGATGTGAAAATGCTTTGAAAAATTAGGAGTATCATACAATGTGACATATTCCTCCCTGTCCCCCTCCTTACCTATGTGTATAGAGCTTGTAAGTGCTGTTAAACATCTCAAAGGAGGTGAGGTAGCCCCTAGGGGTTTGTTCCAGGGTTTTCTGCAAATCAGAAAAAGCAAAAAGACTATTCAGGATCTGCAATTATCTGAAGATATTATCACCATCACCCCTGTCCCTCCCCTGAAAAAATCAGAAATGGAGGATGATTAAACTGTTCATCTCACAAGGTCTGAAAAAAATCACAGGGACTGTCAACAGTGAGGGGGGAAGGGAATGTTCACCCCATCATTAACTTCCTCTACTCAGCCTGTTGGTGGCAGAGCTGCTATGTGAAAATGGGGCTCCACTTTCTTGGTACCATGATATGCTTGCCAAGTGGGCTGCTAAATGACTCACCTCAAACCGGGGCAAGAATGTGATTTGGGTGGAGGCCCCCCCCAGGTCCAGGATCCCCACAGTCTCCTGGCTGTGGTCATGCAGCTGACCTGTGAATGAGAGCCAGCTCTGAACATCTGATTCCTGGACAGCCCAACACTCTTCTGTCTGTAATTTCTCTCCTGCTCTTGTCATACACTGGAGGAATGCCATCAACATTCCACTGCTCCTTGGCCCCATTCCTGCTGTAGCTGAGGTCTTGAAGGAAGGTTATAAACATTAACTTCATGTCTCCCCACCCAACTGCCTTAAAAAAAAAATGAACAAGACAGGAAAAAAATGAAAGGGAATTTTGCTCTCTGAAACCCAGTTAAGGTCTTAAAACAAACCTGAGAATTTATTACCTGTCAGAAAATTCACAGTAACCCAAGCTAATATGCCTAAAAAAGAGAGAAAGATAATGATTACATCCCAGGGCATTTTTTCCCCTCTTCCCTGGCCCAATCTTTGTTCTTTTTCTGAGTTTCATGTCTAAAGCACACACTTTCCTTCTCCTCATCCTTTCATTTCCTGCTATTCCATTCCTCCTTCCTTCCCTGTTTCTCCTTACTTAGTTGGGTTTTCTTCAGCAACCCCATCCCTGTTCCTAGTTCCTTTAATCAAATCTTGTATTAACCCTGGTCTTCTCCTCCTAGAACATTTATCAACACCTCTCCCACCTTCATAGGATCCGTCCATGATGCTGACACTGTCGTTTGGTACCAGGAAAGGTGACTTCTTGAAAATCTCTCCTACCTACAGAAAAAGGGAAAAAATCTCAAATCACCTCAAGTCAGGATCCTGTAATTCTTTCAAAAATACCTTATTAATTCTGTCCGGACACACTGGAAACTAGAAGAAACCCTTTCCACTTTATTTCTTAGCTGAGCAGATAAACTTGAAGTTGGGCCTGGGTGGCTCCAGAGGCTACAGGAAAGTTTCTGATGTTTTCCCATCAAATTCTGTAGGTCTCTGCCCTTGCTGGCAAAGGGGCTCATTGTCCACAGGCTGAGGTCCTCTGCTGTCAGCCCTTGTCAGACCTGGCACATGGCTTGGGCCTCAAGAGTCAAGAGAAACTCCAGATCTAGATTTATTTATCCTATTTTAGGAGATGGGAATGAAAATCTTACACAAATGCTCTTGACTGTACATAAATATAGGTCACTGACATGGGCGTTATGCCTTTTTTTTATATAACAATGTGGGGGGAAAGATTTTCCAAATAAGAATAGGGTGAACTCTAGTCTGCTGGCTGTTCCCCTTCCTTATGGGATGGAAACACTTCATGGGCTGACTTCTGCACTCCATTTCAACCAGGAAAAGCCAGTTAAGTCCTCTATAAACAAGCTTTTAAGGAGAAGATAGATAAGCAAACAGATAGAAAGACAGTTTCTTTTCTTGCCCTCTCCATTCCTATCCCTTGCTTACAGTTTATTCTCAACACAGTAGCCGGAGTGGTGCTTTTAAAACAGATGTCAGATCATGTTTCTCTTTAGTTCAAAACCCTCCAGTGACTTCCTTATAAGCAGAAGTCCTTAAACTTGCCTTTGAGGCCCTACATTGTAAACCCCTCATACTTCTTTGCCCTCATCTTTGACTACCCCTCCAGCCATGCTGATCTAGATGTTGTTCCTTCAATGTAACAGGCACATTCCTGTTTTAGGCCACTGTACCTGCTCTTTCCTTAGACTGGAGTATCCTTCCTACAAATGTCTTATACGGACTGCCTCTTCGTTCCCCTCAGGCCTCTGACCAAATTCATTCTTACCGATGAGGTCTCTCCTGAGACTTCCCTACACCACCATCACTGCTCCTCAGCTGCCTTCCTCTGTCTGCCTTAGTCCCACAGCATCTGAGTGCCTAATGGACTATGTATTGGCTTGTTTAGTTGTTTATTATCTGTCTCCTTGCAACTGGAATGTAAGCTCCACGAGGGCAGCAACTGACTGTCTTTTGTTTCCTGCTGTGTACATCCCGTAACTTCACAAGTGCCCAGTACATAGTAAGCACTCATGCTAAATAAAGAATGAATATATGGATGAGGAATTGGGACTCAGATTCTCATGCAGACATGCTAGGCAGCTTGTCCTTAGACAAGGGACTTTGGTCCTCTGTGTCAACAGTCAAAGGAAAATGGATTTAGAGGATGGAATTAGCACACTTGTAACAGAGAATCCTTTTTTTCTGTGATTTTTGTTATAAAGGGATTCTGCTCATAAATATTCTTTACAATATGTAATTAAATCTTATTAGTTTACATGTTTTTTGCCAAAAGTTTTGCAAAACTTTAAAGTTAAAAATGTTGAGTTTAAAAACTTCTGTATTTAAATTTTTTATATGAATGAGAAAGTTGAAATAGATGATCTTTAAAAAATTTTCACACTTAAAATTCCATGATTCTTCTCAAAAACTATGCAAAAGTCAGAGACACAAAAAGAGAACAGGAACTGTGTAATACCATTTATATGAAATGTAAGAATAAGCAATACTAATCTACAATGACAGAAAACAGATCAGTGGTTGCCTGCTTTCAGAGGAGGGGGAAACTGCAAAGGGTCAGAGAAGCTTCTACCACATTTAATTGGGTGAGGATTAGGGGTTAGGGTGAGTGGCCAGGTTTAGGATTAAGATTAAGTTTAGGATTCAGTGTAGCATCTGGATAGGGATCCAGTTAAGAATTCGATTTCAGGGTTAATGTTAGGGTTAGCTTTAGGTTTAGGTTTAGGCTTATGGTTGGGTGTGGGTGAAGATGAGGATGATGGGTTAGGATTAGGGGCCAGGATTAGGGTTGGGGTTAGGTTTAGGTTTCAGTGTAGGGTGAGAATAGGCTTATGGTTAGATTTAGGGCTTGGGTTTAATGTTAGGGTTAGGGTGAGGTGAGGGTGAAGAGTGAAGGTGAGGAAGTGATGGTATGTGTAAGGTTAGGATTAGGTGTAGGATTAGGTTTAGGTTGATGATATGGTGTAGATTAGGGTTAGGATTTGCATTTAGGCTGAGGGTCAGCATTAAAGTTAGGTTTAGGATTATGGTACCATGTGAGTGAGGGTGAGGATGACAGTGAGGAAGTTGGGGAATGGGTAAGGTTAGGATTAGTGTTAGGTGTAGGGGTAGGTTTAGGAGGAAGTTATGGTGTTGGTGAGTTAGGATTTGGGTTTAGGCTGAGGGTTAGCATTAGAGTTAGGTTTAGGGTTATGATTCCATGTGAGTGAGGGTGAGGGTGAGGAAGTTGGGAATGGGTAAGGTTGAGTTTTAATTTCAAAACTCATTTAATTATACACTTAAAATGTACACATTTTATTTTATATAAGTTATACCTCAATAAAGTTGATTAAAAATAATTTCCATGATTTTGCTTTAATAAATTAGGCAAATTAAGAATATCATAGACTAGAAATACTTTAAATTTTTTCAGGAAAGCTCTATAAATTCAAGAGTAACATTTAAAAATATAAGTAACTAGCTACAAGAGCCCCAACTTACCATGATGTTTCAGCAAAGATGGAACACTAAAGGTGGCAGTCATACCTCAAAGGGCTAAAAATCCATAAAGAAAACATTCATATAGGGAAAAATAATCATCCAACGTGCAAAAAATTTGAAGGGTTACCTCAAGGAGCAGAGCCTGAGCTTTCTGTTCTGGCAGTAAGCGCAGTCCTGCTGTTGCCTTCAGGACCACTGGGGTCCTTTTCCAGTGACTTTGGGGGATTGAGTCTTTGGCCACTTCTAAGAGTCCTTGAACAGTCTCAGCACCCTTCAAAAGAGATGACCCACTCATCCAGTGACCACTCCACCTGGTGGCACCTGTCTAATCCCTCAACATATTTGGGGAGAGTTACAGGAGTGAGGCAGCAGAGGGCTCTAACCCCTCTCTGCCCTACAGGAGCATAGAGAGGTGGCCTTCTTTGAAGGAGAATCCATTTAATTTTGGTTAAGTCACTATAAAAAGAATTATTTTATAGTGTGGTCATTTTAATTGATTGTTATTTTGTGTTTCATAAATCAGCCTCTGGCCAGCAAGTAAAGTATAGCAAAGAAAACACAGGATCTAGAGTTAGAAGACTTGCTTGCTAGCCCTGTGGCCTGACACAGCGGCTTCCTCAACTCTGAGAAGGGAGATACACCTCACACCACCACAAAACTGTATGTGCATTAGACGAGGAAGACTGTGTGTGCTTGCCACATAAATGCTAGCTGTAGCTGCTATTATGCTATACTTCTTATAAGCCCCGTAAGAAGAGAATAGGTCAGGTTCATTTTTGCTTCACCAGCACCTACATGTATGGTACACAGTAGATACTCAATTTATGGTAAATTAAAAACCATTATCTTAAGTCCACTCTTCCCCTGAGTGAACATTTGACAACACACTGCCTCTAAATCACTGTAATTATTAGCAACTACGACACAATCTTCTCTAAATGTCAAATCAGCTTCTGATAATGTAGTTGCTTTTCAACAGCTCCTAATTTTCTATCACATTTGCCATTTCACAACAGTGAGCTAATAAACATCCTCTCAGTGCTTCAAGTTTAAGATTTTAATATCAGGTTTTCCTTTGGTTAATGATTATACATGTGACACTGAATAGTACCTTCACCTTTGCTACCAAAGTTCAACATTCCACCTTATTCTATTTTATTTCAGTGTGGCCTCGGACACCCTCGGTTTAGCATGTTGTGCATGCTCTAACATGAAATACAATCATGCCAAACCCCCCATTTGTCCTCTACTACCAAAGACTTTTTGGTCATCAGGGGTTCTTACCTATTTTCTGGAGTACAGGCATGGTTCTGTCCTGTATCAGGGCACTCTCAAATGGCATTCACTGGGTCAACATTCCCTCAGTTGCTGTATTTATACCTCACACCCTATAGAACTTCATGTCTGTTTTCTGCATCTACATTAATCAAAGTTAAAGGCTTTACCTCAAAATTTTAAACAGAAAATACAAAGGGAGCAATCTCTTAACAAGGTGGTTTTATCCCTGCATGGCCACAGTCTATTCTAGCCTCCTCTACCCAAGCCCTAGTGAACTTGGGGTGTACAATTCCTGTTATTCTGGAGATTAGCTGAGCATGAGAAACTGATTTCACATATGATCTCAATATCAGTAGCGACCAACATGAGATATTTAACAGCAGCAGTGTGATAGTTATCAAGGCACTGAGACTCTAAACATGTAACTGCAAGAAACTCACCTGCTTAGGTTGATCTACAAAAGCAGAAAGTCCTGGCTTCACAGATTCAAAAATTTCCCCTTCCAGAATTGGAAGCTGTCCTATATCCATGCAACAAAGCAGAAGAGAGATGCCTGATTACCAAAAGTTAGGCTGCTTCTGATATTGGGCTCTATATTATATGCCCTATTAGATTAATCTGCTATTTTCCTGAGCTATTTGAAGCAATTCCACCTTTGAGAAATGGCTTGCAGGAGTACTGGGTAGGGAGATGGAGGACAATAGGCAATCCCTGAGAATCTGCCATTTCTCTGGTGGACACCTAGTTCCTACTCCTTTCTCTAGGCTCTATATGTAACGTGCGAATAGAATGTTGGAAATTCAGGAAGTTAATATTCAGGATTCCCTCATCCCCTTCTCCAAGGATAGTAATAATCCTTCATTCAAGACCACTCCCAGTATTCTCAATATTCTGGACACTGCAGTATCAACCACCTTTAGAGAAAAGGAAAGACAGATTGCAGCCATACTTCTTGAACACATAGGTTTCAGACTACAGGAAGCCAGATTTCTCTTAAATTCACACTGAATTAAACCATGTCAATTATACTCCAAAGTATTCTCTGAAGAAAGACATTCAGTAGCCATAACATTCTGTAATTCCCATTGCACACTCTCAGCACCTTTGTTTCTGGGTGGTGATGCTAAAATGTGGATTTAGGCTCTAGTGAGGGTACTTGCACTTACCTGATATTTTCTGCACAAAGGTGTATACATGAATTCGAGTTCCAGTGCTCCCTGCATCAAACATAATTCCATACAAAGTGCTGGCACTGACATTGGCGGGGCACATGGAAGACAGGAAGACACCCTCAAACCAAGTCTGCTGTTCTCTGTGGAAGACAGTGCTGCAAACACAGGACACCACCAGCATGAAAAAGGCTGCCCCCAAGACACTGGCCATTCTCTTCCCAAGATGTGGTAAGTCTAGGCTTTTGTTGAAGAAGTGCTGCTCACAACACCTGCAGTGTCTTATAGGACAAAGACACACAAGATTAGACCAACTGGCCTTTTTGTTTATGCCTGTAAAAGAAGAAACACCCATTATAGAAATCCCACCCCTTCTCCCAAGGTGTTCCTTCTCTATTTCTAATAACCAGCCCAACAAGTAGACCAGGGAGATATAGGCTTTTAGCACCTTTTCTGAAGAGTATCTGGTTGCAAAAGGAAATTGGAACTTAAAAAATATTTTCCCATGCTCTGCTTTTAATTGTAGGTGGATTTCATACTCAAAGGCTCTCTGCCAGTATGCTACTACTGTTAAGTCTAATTTTCTTCTTTCATTTTGACAAGTTTGTCTTTAGATCATATACTAAACTTCTCTTTTTTCCTTTTTTTGATATATTAAACTTCTGAATTAAAGTAGAATGTTACAAAGAACTTAGAAAGTGCCTATCACTGAGGTGTCCACGGCCTTCAAAAATCAGGCCACTGGACTGTCACCTGTGACCACAATACTGCCAGTGGCATGCACGTACAACCACATTTTAAGACAATAAATCAACTTAATTTAAAAACAGTTAAGTAGACCATTATGCTTTTAAAAAATTTCCTTCACAGCTTTTAGGCCATGTTATCCCCTTAAGGACATAGGGCAGATGGGCAAATTAAGACAGAGAGGTTTCATGACTTGCTGAAAATCATAAAGCAGGTCAGCGGTAAAATCTGGATCAGAAATCAGTCCTCACTCTTGCCAACCTTTCTCTTCCCTTATTCCAAAGTACCTCCCTTATAGCAAGTTACTACCTAATTTTCTTAATGTGTCCTTAGTAAAAATAAAAACCTCAGCACTAATGTTCAGCATTAGTTGTTCTAGATTCATATATTGTGGTAGGTTGGATAAATATGATGCTGAAAACCTAGAATAAGGTTACATGGAAAAATGTTTCCTGAATAGGCTGTTTTTTGCTTTGGTCTGTATTTTCTCCTGGTACTAAAGAAGAATGCTGTATCTATTCTCTAACATTTAAGGGTTCCTTAATTGTCCTTATGTACTTTGCTCATAACAGTTTTGAGTCTTCTGATACAACTTTCATTTCTGGACTTCTTGTAAAATTATAGTAACTGTGTAAACAAGATCTAAGTCCAAAGTTCCCATTTCCCACTCTCCTTATCTCTAACAGAATACTCAGCATTTTTGAAATACATATTGAGGATTCTCAATGGTTCTCAGGTTTGTTGCATCCTAGAGTTCCTTTTATCAAAATACTTCCCTCTCCACAGGTGACAGATTACATAAAATAGAGCAAATTGAAGTTAATTGCATTTGGAACTTAAAATCATTTAAATTAATAACTAGAGTTGTTCTGAGTTACTACAATGGTGGAGTTAGAATTATCAGTTTTAACACCATTCAAGGCTAATTTCTATCCTGCAGTTAAAAATGAGAGCTATTAGCTAAGAAAGGAAAAGTTAGAATCTCAAAGGAAACTTCATCCTAGGAAATCAGCCACTAAAACAGGGCAGCTGCCTGGCCAGGTTCATACTCACATGTTAAACCTCTCCCTTTGTCTGATTATTCTTCTACAGCAAACAGGCTGGTCATGCAGATCAGTCTAAATAACTGAAAACAAAAACAATCTTTTCAGCTTCTCTGAGTATTAACAGATCCTTCCCTTGTCCAGAGCTCAAACTATATCCAACACTTGGTCCCTTTTCTCCCTAAGGAAGCACGTGTAGGGGCCTCTGAAACCAGCCTCCCTCCCTCTCTATGGTTCCACAGCACCTTCAGGGCTCACTCATATTTTCTCTATTATTGTGGTTTCTGAAAAACCTCTCTGGCTTCTATTTTCATTAAGCAAACACGTGTTTTTCTTCCAAAAGAGATTTCAAGGGGGAAAAAATGCACACTAGGTATCCGTTTTCATGAAGTGAAAACTGCAGAGTCATACCAGATGTTCAATGTAAAACTAAACAGTAGATTTTTGAGAAAGCAAAGGATGCAAACATAAAACGTCCCTTCTGCTCTCAGTCCCTGCCTTCTAATACCACTTACAATCTCATTTTTCCTGAAGACAAGTTACTTTAAGAATGGTAATAGAGAGGCTTACAATTCTGAGTATATAGAATGGCTTTGTTTTACACAACCCCAGGCTACAGAGCTTGCTCATTCACTTTGTTGGTCTTCACTTAAATGTCACCTTCTTAGTGAGACCTTTCCTGTTCACTCTATTAAAATTACAACCCACCTGGCCACATTTCCCTGTTTATTTTTCTCCATAGCACTACTTTTGTGTTTTTCTCATATTCCCTGCTCCACCCACACAATGTAAGCTATACATGGGCAGAAATTTTATTGTCTGTCTTGTTCACTCATGTGTTCCTGGTGCTGAAACAGTGCTAGCACACAATAGGTGTTGAATAAAAACTCTGAAGGGATGAACAGTGATCCAGTAACTCAGGCAATGGATCCTACCCATTTAACAATATAACAGCTTGCTGTTAGAATGTGTTTGAATTTAGGTGGCTATCAAATTAATATAGACTGCTATATACTCAGGAGATCGTATATGAACCTCATGGTAATCACCAATGAAAAGCCTATCGCAGATAAACAAAAAATAAAGAGAAAGGCACCTAAGCATAACGCTAAAGACAGTCATCACTCAGAGAGGAAGAGAGGAAGAAAGTAACAGAGAACTACAAAAACCACCAGAAACAATTAAATAATGGCAGTAAGTATGTACGTGTCAACAATTACTCTAAATGTTAAGTGGTCTAAATGTTCCAATCAAAAGACAGAGTGATGGAATGGATAGAGAAACAAGAACAACTTTGTCTTCAAGAGACTCATTTCAGACTTAAAGACACACACAAACTGAAAGTAAAGGGATGGGAAAAGTTACTCCATACAAATAAAGTGAAAAAGAAAAAAAAAGCTGGGGTAGCAATACTTATATCAAGCAAAAGACTAAAAAAAAGACAAGAGAAAGACGGTTACATAACAACAAAGGGATCAATTCAGCAAGCAGTTATAACACATGTAAATATCTACGCATCAAACATAGGAGTACCTAACTATATAAAACAAATGTAAGCAGAATAAAGGGAGAAATTGACAGTAATACAGTAGCAATTCCACTTCAGGTATTTACCTAAGAAAACAAAACCAGTAATTTGAAAAGATACATGCATTCCTATGTTTACTGCAGTATTTACCATAGCCAATATACACGGAAGCAATGGAAGTGTCCACTGATGGATAAATGGATAAAGTCATGGTGTGTATAAATATAAATGGATTATTACTCTGCCATTAAAAAAGTATGAAATCGTTTCATTTGCAACAACATGGATGGATCTAAAGGGTATTATGCCTAGTGAAGCAAGTCAAAGATAAATACCATATGGTTTCATTTATATGTGGAATTAAAAAATATAAAACAAACAAAACAGAAATTGACTCAGAAATACAGAGACCAAACCAATGGTTGCCATAGGGCATGGGTATGAGAGGATGGGTGAAATAGATGAACAGGATGAAGAGGTACACACTTCCAGTTATAAAATAAGTCACAGGGTGAAAAGTACTGCATAGAGAATATAGTCAATATTGTAATAACTTTGTATGGTGACAGATGGTAGGTATACTTACCATGGTTAGCATTTCATAAGTTATATAACTGTCAAATCACTATGTTGTACACTTAAAATGTATTTTATATCAACTATTTGAATTAGAAGTAGAATAATTGACTTCCTTCCAAAAGAGGATTACCTACTCATTAGAAAATTACAATTCCAATCTTCCAAGGAAGGACTGTTTCTGCAAACATGTCAATTATTTGTTTTATATGCCACTCAAAATAATGCAATCAAGTTTACTTTCTACAGACTAGGAAGTATACTTAAATCACGATAGTCTACTTAAGCACATCAGCATACTTAAACCCACTCCTTTCATACTGGGTCTTCTCAGTAACTCTTGCTCCCTATCTCCTATTCATCTCTGACAAAGCCCCCTCTTCAATTCTTCCTCTGAGACTTTGGTGCACCTCTCCTTCAAAGGTCTTTTAGTGTATCTCTGTCTGTGTATAAATTCTCCCAAGCTTCACACTCTGGATTCCCTTCTTCCATGTCACCCAGAGCCTGGGAGACCACAATGCCACAGGACCCATTTGGGTGCTTACCTGCTCGCATCTGCCTGTTCCCTGTAAATCCTTGTTTTCACTGTTGGTTGCCTTTGCTCTTTGCTCCTATTTCAGCCCTTCTGAATCAAGCTAGCTTCATGAACCACACTGACCTTTGTGCTAACTCGCAACTAACTTCTTGGCATTTTGCTAACTCACTCCCTTCTTTACCCTTCACTCTTCCCTTCTGCACCTTTTTTTCTGGGGTTGCATGATTCTCTGGTTCATCCATTTTTATCATAGTTAATTGCCAACTAGTAGAATTATTGCTTATAGGGCTAAAGTTGCTTAGGAACTAAATTCTGTGTTTTTAGATAGGAGATTAATTACCTACTAATTAATGTCTTCACATTATTTAATGTTATGTTTACAATGACAAAATATGTAACTATGTAATTAGTTTCCCTACTAACTCATATTTTTACATTAGCCAAATAGTAGAGAAATTAAATAGCACTCCTCAATAGCTTCCATCCCTGAGATGGAAATTAGAAAGCTTGGCATTGAACTAATGAATAAACATTTACTGAATGTCTACTCTATACCAGATAGTGTGCTAGCTTCTAGATACAAAAGAAGAAACAGATATAGAACCAACTTTGTGGGAAACTTCAGCTTACTAGAAGAAAAAGACAAGTACACTGACAGCTATAATGTACTGTGGTAAGCTCTCTGACAGAAATATGCACAGGGTATTACAGGAATGGACATAAGGGGCAAGTAACTCATTTAGAAGGGGAAGGATGGAGGTGGGCAAAGAGTGGTAAGTTTCTTAAGGGATGAGAGGCCTAAGCTGGGTCCTGAATCAGAGTAGGAATTAGCCTGGTCAAGTGATGTAAGAATTCTCAAAACTTTAAGTATAAAGAGTTCAGTACAGCTAGAATCCAGACGTGTACCAGAATAAAGAGTACAGGTGTGAGAAAGAATGGTTCTGGAGGCACTGGATAAGATTTCAGAGAGTGGACCTGTTTTCCTTATACAGTTCCATGGTGACACTTGACAGTTATTTATGTCTTTCTATTCTCTCCCTAAGCAAATAGCAATATTGATTGACTTGGCTAAAATGACACAGCATTTCTCAACAGTGGAAATAATGGGATGGGATAGGTCCACCAAAAAGTCTGAGTGGAGTATAAAAGCTCCCACTTTCCATTCTGAGTTCCACAGCAAAGTTGGCTTTAACAAAGTTAAAAATTAAACACAAAGCTAAAGTGTAACTAGAATGAATTTTTAAACATGAAGTTGAATTATGGGAATGGATTAGTCAAACCATTCAGAGCATAAGTTAGTCAAGCAAAGCAAAACCAGGGTGGGTCTAATAAGATATTTCAGCACAGTGAGCAATGCCTCATTTGGGGATATAACTTGGGACCTATATACCCATTACCAAGGGCCAGAGCCCTGGAACACCTTGCTATCTGAAGGGAATCTGAAGTAAGGGTACATGGAATCTTTTGTATTCTAAAACCAAGTACTGAGCCGGAAACATGTTAGACAGCAGTAAATATATCATGAATGAACTTGGTACAATTGGGCTAATGATATCTGCAGACAGGAATGTTAGGGGAGTACCCCCTTTCCCAGGGTCTTACTATGGCTATGTATCACATCCCGAATTCCCCATTCTCCTCCAAACCAGCCCATGGATAGGAGTGCTATTACAGAAAGGCTATTTATTCAGATATTAATTAATTCCTCTAGCCATTCCAGAAATGATCATTGCCTACTGTTACATACAAGTACAGCAGGCAAAGATGAATCATCTTAGACTTGCCCTTTAAGAGACTAAACAGGAAAAAATACCTATCCATTAATTACCTCTGCAAAGTTAAAATGTGACAAATAGCACAGTTACCATATTCTGAGACTTTAAAGCAAGGAGAGATTACTTCCAGCTGGGGTGATCAGAGAAGGCTTTGTGAAGGAGGAGGCACTTAAGGAGGGTCCTAAGGAGGGGAATTAGGACAGGACAGGAATGCTTTACAGGAAAAAGAAACAATATGAATCAAGACGGGGGTATAGAAACATAATGGGGCCTCCTGGGGAACAGTGAACAAATCACTCTTAGTAGCAGTAGGAAATAAAGTTGGAAAAGCAAATTGAGGTCAGACAGTAAAGCACACCAAATACTCAGCTAAAGTTTAGACTCTGCAGGCAATGGGAAGCCACTGAAGATTTTGAGCAAGGAAGTGTCACAAATATGAATCTGGCAATTACATGTAAAGATTGGAGTGGGGAGCCTTTGTAGACGCCACTCAATTGCCCAATTCTACAAATGTTCATTGATGCTAAGTACTAGATGCCACAGAATTAAAGGTGAATAGACAGAACTTTTTATTCAAGATGCTGAGTCTGGCAGAGGTGACAGTTATACAAGTAACCACACCTTTTTAAGTTAATCATAAAATGCAAAGGGGCCCAAAACCCTGAAGGACTAACTTTACCCAGAGAATTAGGAAAGGCATCATGAGCAGACATCTGAATTAATCATGAAAAATGAATAAAAGTAACTACCTAAATAATAGAGACATGGACAAAGACCAGAGGGACTATAAAAAGATGAAAACAGTAGGTAAATTATGTATAGTTTGATTTCATTTTTCAATTTCCTCAAGAATTTTTGTCATATGTATTTGAGAAACAAAGCAAAAAGACTACAGTGGGAGGGTACAGAAGAGGGGGTTTAGAAGAGAGGGTTAGCGTTTAACACAGAGGGAAGACTGGCCAAAGAACACAATCTCAGGTAATAATACCAGCTTTTATTGAGACCTTAATACTTCCCAAGCTCCATGTTAAGTATTTTACATGTATTACTTCATTTAATCTCAAAATACCATTTCTGTGAAGCAGGTTCTATTATTAACATCCCCACTCTATAAATGAGAGAACTGAGGCTTAAGGAGCAAACAAGACCACACAGGAAGTGAAAAGAGCCAAAGACCAAACCCAGATGGTCTAATTCCAGAGCCCACAATTCTAACCACTAGGTCTCCCAGGAAAGGTCATCCTGTATGGTCTGGAAAGGATGGATATGGAGGTGGGGAGGAGAGTGTAAAGCAGAGAATGGTCAGAGATGAACTGGAAAGTTAGAATGGCATCAGGATGTGAAAGTCTTATAGTAGTTTGATCTCCTTCTTATACATGACTAAAAGTTTGTTTGCTTTTTTCTTGCTTGTTCTAGCTTCATTATATTTCCAGAACTGATCATTCTGAACATTACATTGCTACCACCTTGGCCCAAGAGACCATCATTTCTCATAATTTACTCTAATACTGTCCTAACAGACCTCTGCTTTTTACCCTCACTCCTCTAGTCTATTTGTAACAAGCAACCAGTCATCTTTTAAAATATAAGTTAGAGCCTCTCTCTCCTCTATTCCAGCAGTGGCTTCCCATTTCCTTCAGAATAGGAAGGTCCCCCAAACAGCCTTCACAGATCTGCTTTGCCTCCCTCCCTGTTACCTCTTTGATCTCATCTAATAGTTTTTACCTTACTCACTCGCCCACACTGACCTTTGTGCTTGTATGTCATATATGCTCCTGCCTGAGGTATCTGCTCGAGCTGTCCCCATCCAGAAAAATGCTGCCCCATACACCAACTTGCAAAATTCATGCAACTCCTTCAAATTATTGTTCAAATGCCACTTTCTTATTGATGCCTATCTTTATTATAGCCTCCCTCCCTCATGTGCCCCTTACCTCTGCCTGCTTTCTCAAAACCCCTTACTCTTACCTATTTTTTCTTTTTTCAATACCACTTATCACATTCCAATATGCTAGATAACTTATTTACTATGTTTATTGTCTGTGTTCCTCTGATAGAACAGAAGCTCCTTAAGAGTAGGAATCTTTTTGCTTATTGATGTAGGCCAAGTACCTGGAAGAGTATCCAAGAAGGTATTCAATGGAAATTGACAACAGGAATAAATTTCAAAGTGACATAAAAAGGGAGAAATAATAATTTCATAAATAAACAGATTTTAAAGAGAGGATGTAATTGATTAATGGGTACCTCATATAGTAAATTAATTTTAGGAGAAACTATAACTTTATTTTTCTGAATCTATTAGTTTTGTATCTAAATTGAAATTTTTAACCAAATACCTTCAAATTGCTAAAATAGTGATAAGCTAAGTAATTTTCCAAAAAAAAAAAAGAATATTAAACATTGTTTGTATTTCCCAAATTCTCTTCTATTTATTAAATCAAAAAATATTTAGGATACTATGCATTAGTTGTCTATTGCTGGACAACAAATAACCCCAAAACTTAGATGCTTAAAACAACAATAAACATTTATTATCTCACAGTTTCTGTAGGTCAGGAATTTGGGAGTGATTTAACGGGATAGTTCTGGCTCAGGGTCTCTGGTGATACTGTACAAAATACAGGCAGAGGCTGCAGCAGTCCTCTGAAGACTTGACTGAGGCTGAGAACCAACCTCCAAGATGGCTCACTCAAAGGCTGGCAAGCCAACACTGGTTGCTGGAAGCCTCAGTTGCTTCCCATGTGGCCTCTCCATAGGACCTTGAATGTCTTCACAACATGGTGGCTGGCTTCCTCCAGAGTAGGTAATCCAAGAGAAAGCAAGGTAGAAGCAGCAATGTTTTTTATGACTTAGCCCTGACGTCACACATCATCACTTCCCCAGTATTCCAATGGTCATAAAGACCAACCCTGATAAATGTATGAGGGGACTACACAAGGGCATGAATAACAGGAGGTGAGGATTACTTGGGGCCATCTTGGAGGCTGGCTACTCCAAGTTATAACCAGTATTTGCATAATTATTTTGTCTTCAGCTTTTTTTTTTTAGTTTATTTTCTACTAACACAGCTTACGCACTTATTTTAAGAACTATATGTTATTCCAATTGATATTAACTCTTAAAAATAAAAAAATATATAGACTTTCAACTTCCTGAAAATACATCCTACCACTTGAAGCTTTCCATTTTTTCTGTTAGAGACCCAATATTTTACTCAGGGAAAAGCATTAAAGTCAGAAAAACTCACACAATGCCCTGCTTATTCCTAAAGGTGAAAATGAATTTAAATACTTGAAATAAAAGATAAATTTAGAAAAGAGTAAGAAGTAGTAAAGGAGATTGTAGTAAGAAAAGTAATAAAAAATAAAATTTGTTGATTATAGACATAAGTTAATAACTGAATAAAAAAGTGAAATGAAATACTAAATCAAGGAAGATATAGCATGAAAATGTTTATATTAACAGCAATTTTCTTCATGCTACATACAGAAAAAAATTTCTAATACAGAATGGTAACATTAATAGTTAGGTACTAGAAGGATATTTGGTAGAAAGGGAAAACTGACAACTGGCACAGATTTGAAAATCATTGAAAAATTTTATAACAAACATTTTTCAAATATCAACATAAAAAAGGTTTATTAAAAAATCAACTTTTATTAGGGTATTGCCAAGAAGCTGTAATAAAACCTGTGAGCATGGAAACTACAAGGGGAAAAGCTGAACAGGAAGAATTCCCCTACAATGAGCTGTTGCATGCTGTGGGGAGGGAAGGATTCGTGCCTTAAGGGCTCAGCCCAAACCTGACCATATGGCCCAAAGCAGATTCAGAGATCTGAAAGCCCAGTGAATGAACTATCTTTTAAGGTCCCTTCAACCCTAAGATCAACTACTCTTGCTCCCAAAAAAGTAAGTACAATTAATGCATTGATAGTTACCAACAAATATAAATTCTTTTCTATAAGCAGATTGCTTCTTTCTATACTTTATTCCATTTTAATCAAAACATCATTAAACAAGTGATAAAAACACCCACTCTGTATAATAAATCCATTTGGGTGTCATACCAAAATGAAACCAGGCAGAGCAGGACTTCATTCTGCATTGTTCCAGGCTTGACGTAGCTACAATCATCACTGTGCGGGGATAGCTGTTGCTGTTCCTCCTTCTCTTTATTCACAAGTCGCAAGACCTTTTCTTATCCATTCATTAATAGTGGAAGTCCTTTAAATAACAATATACTACCAATCAGAAGAGGGTTAATATTGCCCCAATGAACAAATAAAATGGAAATCTAAGATGATAAACTACCTTCTGCCTCTAAACCCATATCCACGTGGGAGGCACTTACTTGCAGAAGAGTATTTGCAATGATTAGTGTCATTTGTCATTGTCATTTGTTTGTGGGAAGAGAAGTAAAAATATACTTTCCCTTCCTTGTTATCCACTGAAAAATAGCTACTGCTTCAAACATGTTAAATCAAAATGAAAAACATTAGAAAGACTGAAATATTACAATGATACCTCATATATAAGGCAAGGAATAGAGGTTGCATGTAAGTACATTTCCTCAAATAGATGTTTTAGGTGCTCTCCTTCTAAATACTCAAACATTTTAACAGTGTTTGGTAAAAATGTTTCTAAAGTGACTATTTTATTTATAGTTCAGTGTCATGATTATGACCCACCAGTTATACTTATATTTTTCTGTAAACCTGGGATGCCTCCAGGTCCATAGGACTGTTCACTTTTCTGCCACCAAAGGGTTCCAGATCGCTATGCTTTTTGGGCTAGTTTTCCTTAACATCATGCCACCTATTTTCACTGATTAGTATTGTCACATGCCTTACTCCTTCAATAAGCTGCCATCATCTGATATTTAAAAATCTTTTGTTGGATGTGAATCAGAGAGCCATAATTATGAGACTTTTATGTCAACTTATGAAAATTAGAACCTCTCCAACAGAGTAAGGGCTATGGACTTTGTGACAACTCGTTAGTGGCTCACAGATCCCTCCTCACTTACCATTAGGTCTCAGCTAGGAATAAGAAAGAATGTATAGAAATCTGACCTACAGAAAAGTGGGGTATTACTTTATATAGGCTACTTACCAATTTTTTCTTTTCCTTCTGGGCTTTCCCCTTTATTTCCTTCAACTAACATGTCATTTTTTCAACCTGTAGGAGATGGATATGGATAATCATGAGAACAATCTGTTCAGGCTTTGGAAACCAGATCACCAAGTTCATATCCTGAATTGGGCTCTTTCTCCTCTTCCAGATTTTATTCTCAAACTACAACCACAGCCACTCATAAAATCATTCATTCATAAAATCAGCAACAGCAAAAGGAGGCAAGTTACACTCCCTCTAAAAACTAGTGTATATTTCTGTGTAAATGTGTGTAAATATATGGGAAGGCAGTGACTAAGGAGCTGATTCATAAAAGTGCATAAGATCTAGTTTATGTACTTTGTGAGGTTTTTTCCCTTAGCTGTAAAGAACTCAAATACTAGCTGCGTGTTCTAGAGTGTCATCAAGAGCGGCTGCTTACTATTACATGTATGAGTACATAGTTAAAAGGGACCAAGCCAATTCTAGACCTAGGAACATATCCGTAAGCACTGAAAAGAGGGACTGAACAGACATTTCTATGCAGTGTTTGCTGCAGCAGTACAAACAATAGCCAGAGGAGGAAACAACCCAAGTGTCCATCAACAGATGCATAAACAAAATGATACACATTGTATATACAATGGAATATTATTTAGCTACATAAAGGAATGAAATTAAGACTCATGCTACAACATGGATGAACCTTGAGAACGTTATTAAGTGAAAGAAGCCAGACACAAAACGACAAATATATGATTCTACTTCTCTGAAATATATAGAATAGGTAAATTCATAGACAGAAAACAGAGAAGTTACCAGGGTTTGGGAAGGGAGAAGGGGAGTTTACTGCTTAACTGCTTAACAGATCCAGAATTCCTGTTTAGGATGATGAAAAGGTTTTAAAAATATGTGGTAGTGATAGTATTCACTGCTGTGAATGTAATTAATACTAATGAATTGTACACTTACACTGGTTAAAATGGTAGTTTATTTATTTTGCCACAGCAAAAAAAAAATTCTTTTTAAACACAGGAAACTTGCTGCTTCAAACGTAAGATGAAAAACTTTAGCTACTGTTTCAGCAGAGCAACAGTGATGACAACACTGCCTCCCTGGGCTACCTCATGAGCACACAGCCAGTTACATTCCCAAAGGTAGTATTAATACTCATAAAATATCTGTAAGCATTTGAGTTTAGTATCTTCCATCCTCCCAGAAAAAGAAAGTTAAACTTAACCTATGCAACATAAATTTGAAAAGTACATACTGAAGAAAAGATTTGAACAATGTTATAAATTCTAACTATAGAGCCTCCAAAATGAACATTTTCAAGAAAGGTCTTTACGTTTTGTTGATGACAACTTAAACACTTTCCCAGGTATTCCCTGGGAATCCTAGGATGGAATGAGTGGTATCTACCCCTAAGCATGCAATCTTGACAACATTTCTACTAAGTTTTCCTTTTAAAAGTATTTATATTGTATTTTTGTGTGTATGCCAATACACTGAACTCAGAACAAGAGACATTTCAAACTGGCAACTCCAAATGTCCCTTCTTTGCCACCCCTGCCCCAAACACAGAGAGAGTTTAAATGGATTCTCTAATTTCCTGTTTGTTAGTGGCACCACAAATTTCCTAATTCACAACTCAAAAATCTTCATCTTTGAATTCTTCTCTGTCATGCCTGCTGCATTCCAATTTGTTATAGAGGACTGGTGATAACAGTCCTTTATAAAAGATAAATAGTCCTTTTCCTTTGCAGTATCTTTTTCATCTATTTCTCTTTTTTTCCTCCTAAATCCCCTGCTGATATCTAAATTCTGGCCTTTGTTACTTCAGACTTGGACTAGTATAGCCTCTTAACTGGTCTTCCAATTACCAATGTCTCTAATCTCAAATCCATACACCACAGTCTTCCTAAAATGCTATTTTCATCATTTTCCCACTAGACTATAACCCACATCTTGGCAGGGATTCATTCATCTTTGGACACTATACAACAAAGCATGTATGTTTAATCAACATCTGTTGAATACATTAATGAAAACATAAATCACATCACTCTCCTTCTCAAAACTTTCATCAATTTCCCATTGTCTGTAATAGAAGTTACAAACTCAAATACCTAAATACCTAAATACCTACTGGGCCAGGCAGGAAACATGAATAAAGGTGTTAATGAAACAAAAGGAAGTGTTGGGGACTGTGGCAAACTGCACATGGAGCACATGTTCCATCTAAAGGAGTATCTGGCCACTGTTCCCACAAATTGGTTGCTGCTATGATGAAATATAGGTCAGGTCTTCTGATTTTTTAGGATAGCACAGATTCACAAATCTGAAAGCACAGATTTCTATGTAGAATCTGGTTTTTAAATAGTGACAACTAATTCTATTTAAAAATAAAATAAACCCCCAAAACCACCTTGCAGGCCAAACAAAACACATATATAGGTCAAATTCAGTCTTCAAGTTACAAGCTGGTAACTGTAGGATAAAAGACAAACTCCTTGCCTAACATTCTAAGTCCTTCACTGTCAATTCCCAGGTTACCTAACCAAAGTTTTTTGCTCATTACTTCCAAATAAAACCCTCTACTATACTCCAGTGGTTCTCAAACGTCAGCATATATCAGAACCACCTGGATGGCTTGTTAAACAGATTGCTAGGTCTCACTGCCAGCATTTCCAATTCAATAGGTCTCAAGTGGGGCCTGAGAAGTTGCATTTCTAACAAGTTCCCAGGTGATGATATTGGTCTGCAGACCACACTTTGGGAACCACTGCTCTGTTTAAATCACTTCTTATCTCAAGCAAACACTAAATATTGCTCACATTGTTCTACCTTCCCAGAAAACCTTGCCTCTTCCTTTCAGCCTACCTCCTTCTGTAAACTTTCTCTATGACAGACAGTCTTTCATACTCCAGATTCCTTCAGCACTTAGGATCCATGCCATCTCTTTTTATCCATCACTGCTTGATGTTTTATTGTTAACTGTTTATGTATAGGTGCCAGTGAGGTTGCATATTTTTAGAGATCAATGTCTAGCTCAGCACTTTATAAACCTGACTGTAAGCAGCCCCTTGAAGGCAGGACGCTGGCTTGTATCCCACTGAACCCCTTAAGCTATCAGAGAGCCTGGTGTACAATAGGTACTTGCAAAACATTTCTTAAAAATGAACACTTGAGAATTCATTTCTTAAAGATGAACACATGAAATGAAAGTGCAGATAACTAGGATGATTGACATCTGGGTATGTAATTTATCTTAGAGAACTTTTAGTCCAGTGTAATGGCTTTGTCAGGATAGACAATAAAAATGGGATATTTTACAAATAAATTGCCAATAGGTAATAATTATCTGTGGCAATATATTTGGCATGTAAATAAAACACTGAATGTTAAAAAAAACTGATTTAAAAATTGCTAAGATCTAAAGGGAGCATGGCATGTCAGCTTGACTGAGCAGTATGCAAGGCAGGGATCTGGGAAGAGACAGGCTGAAGAGGTAAGGCTGGCTCATCAAGTCTTCTAGCAAACTCTGGAGTGTAGACTTTATTCTAAGGGCAATACAAACAATTAGCAAATAGTTTTAATAAATATAATAAAGAGCTAATATTCATACTATTATATCAAGAGGGTATACAGAAAATGGAAGTACAGGATTGTAGTGAAGGAAAAAAAAATTGCTAAGATCAAATTCTTTATCTCCAGAATTCCTTAACCTCTGCAGGGATATGAACTAGTCATAATATCACAAGATAGTATCTATTTAATAGAGTTCTGTATTTGCACCACATGCAATAACAAAGTAAGATGAAAGTAATTAACTCCCCATGATATTCAGAAATACTGATCAATTCCTGTAGAGTTTGGATGATGATATATTTTCCAGGATTCTAAAGGCTGTGTGAAAACAAAATAAAAAGTTTTTCACCTAGTTTCTTCCCCCTATAGAGTAGTATCTGTTCTTTCATTATTTTATCATTTTCAGGGATGATTTATGAGTAGAAACTTGGTCTCCAGGCTAAACCAGAATAAAGCTACAGATGACTTTACAGAGTAAATCCAATTTTGGAACTACTAAAAGAAAAAATTAGAAACGCCATATATTTTGATACATAGTCCTTAATTCTTACGTGGCTTTTTGAACAATTCCACACCTAATGGTTTTACAATGAATGGAACAAGAGAAAAGTTAACATCATTTGGCAAATAGAGAATCCAATTCAGAAAAACAAAAATAAACAATCCAGGAGCATATAAAGTACACTTACAACTCTAAGATAGCAGAGATGTTACCTTACATTCGGGTACTTGCCCTACCTACCAGGACCATATGATCTTGTCTGCATGAGGATTCAGCCAAACATTCCACATTTCTATGCTGACCAGGAACTATGTAAACTAGGCAAAAAAAAAAAGAATTACAAAGCTAAGTCAACAAAACTTACGTGGCTTATTCCAAGTTTTAAAAGCTAATTAGCATGCTCAACAATGAAACAAAGCAAATTTATTGAGCAAAATTTTCCTGAAACTTCATAGTAAAACTACCTATCACAAATTATGGACGGAAATGCTGCCAGATGAATTGCTAAATATCAACTCCTTACTCTATCTGTACCATCAGATTTTTTTTTTAACCAACACTTGACTAAATAATAACATGCAGTTTTTGACCCAGAATGTGGAGGTTCAGACGACTGAAAATTCTAGAACCACCTCTAAACCGTATGACTCTAGGCATTTTTCTTAGCCATATTCCTAACACAATTTTAATTTAAAAAATCAAACTTAAGAGTCAATAAACTGTGCAATAAAACTATGAAGTACATGTAACTGAAGTACTGTGTGTATTTTACAAAATAATCTTTGTTACTTTACAGTCAAATTTTCCTGTTAAATGAGTGTGTAAGCCAATGTTCAAACAATAAAAGCCTTGGACTTTTTATATTACACAGTGTGAACTGAAGAAAAGCTGACCACCAGTGTCACTAGACACCATCAAAAATATTTCTAAGGCCTCAAGTATTGAAGGTTTCATTAACTCTGAAAGTCTCAAAATGGCCATCTGTGAAAACATAAACTTTCTAACTCTGTAATACAATGTTAATCAACTTAAAGGCTAACCAACTGGCATCCACATTCCTGCTAAAGGATAAGCAAAACGTTTAATTTCCCTCAGTGCCAGATGCACACCAGGAAGTGTACTGCCCCCCCTCCTTTTCTTTGCATGTCATATCTTATGTAAATGAAATAAATGAAATGTGCTCCTTTTAAGTTCAACTTCCTTGCCTGACTCCTCAAGGATATAAAACCTCTGAATGACTTTAGCCCTTTGAAACATTTTTTTCCTACCCACCCATGGGAATCAATGTTCCTGGGTTTATAAATCCTTATTTTGACGCAAATAAAACTGTCTTTATTTCAAGGTGATTTTCATGAATTTTCATCAACAACAGTAACCAATTTTTACATCTGAATTCCAAATATACAGTCTGTGATGGAAGATGCCTTACCCTCTCTTTCCTGCAAGTTATCAATAGGGTGCATTTTCAGAACCTTAGAAATACAAAATGAATTGTAACCTTATAGATTCCATATCTGAGGTAAGAGCCCAGGGGAGTGTGACTTAGAGGTGAAAATGCACGGGAATTAAAGTCATATCATGCTAGCAGACCGTAGTATGTCTAAAGTGATTCTCAGGGCTCATTAACAAATGCATGTTCCCTCTAACCACAGAATTCAGAAACTACCTAAATGAAGAAAAAACAGCGAGAGCATTAGAGGTCAAAGACCTCTGAAAGAGGTGTAGGAATTAAGTCCTCAGAGAAACGGAGGAAATGTACAAGGAAGTTTTAAAATAAATTTTAAACTCAATGTGAAATGCAGCATAAAGTACAGCAGAGCTATAATCACAAATTTCCTATTGTCTTGGCACCCAGAATTCCCTATCTTCCGTAATGATTCACTAACTCATTGAGTGAGGGCATAATCACAGAGCTCCTCCTCTGAAGTACTCCTTTTCATAGGTGTGCTGAGAAGAAACACACTACCAAAGAGCAAGGGCTCTCAACTTAACGCAACTTGCAGAAAAAGGGGCTGCGGATAAACGAGGTATTAGCAAATAGGAATCCGGGACTGGTCTGGGGCGGGCAGCGTTGGCCACACAGACCAAATGGGGCCGAGGACGTGAACACCTCCCGTACTATCCCGTACTGTACCGCGGGGCCCCTCCCGCCCCAGGTGGCAGCACTGTCCTCCCCGCTAGGCTCCCGAACATCCGCTGCCCTGCGGTAGCTGACAGCCTCACCCCATATCACCGCCCTCGGAAAAGTCCTCAACAGCTTCATCAAAAAGTTTGGCCTGCGAAACCCGCTGGACGCGCCGTCCCTTAGAGAATTAGCAATAGTTAGAAGCCAGGAGAGGGAGAAGAAAACCAGGAGTCGGGGCAGCTTCGAGGGAACTAAGGCTGAGCAGGGACAAAAGCAAGGCAGCCAGGGTGGCTGCGGCGTTGAGGGAGACGCGAAACGCTGCAAAAGCGACGAAGGGTGGGGGGCGTTCCGACGACCGCAGCGGGGCGCGGGACCCCCGAGGAAGCAAGCTTCCTGAACACAGGGCGCCCCGACCGTCGCGCCGCAGGAGACGCCAGGCCTGCAGGTCGCTGCACCGCCGTCCGGAACTGGCCCGATCGGGCCTCCGCCGGCTAGTCGGTCCAGGCCCGGACTCCGGTCAGGCTCTGGCACCTCCCCCACTCGCACTCACCGCGCGCGCGCCTCCCTCGGCGCAATCTCCGCCCCGCCCACCGCGGCCAGCCCGCGAACTGGGCCCCTCGCGGCCGCGTCTGGGTTACGTCACCAACGGTTACGCTCTTCGCGTGTCGCCAACGGTCGTGGCAGAACGTTACGCGTTTGGCGTGCTGGTTGCCTTAGAGACGGAGCCGAGTCTGGGCGGCCCCGGAGAAAACACAAGGACAGCGGGGCCTCTGAAGAAGCCAAGATGCCGTCGAAGGAAAGAACAAAAGGAAAGGACATAAACAAAAGCAAGAACAAAGGCAAAAGCAAAGACAAGAAGTAAGGAGAAGCCACCCTTGGGTCCCCTCTGTTCTTTAGAAGTCTGAGGGTCCGCGGGACGCAGGCGCTGGCTAACTGGCGCCCTCCCGCCAGCCCCCTTGGACCCTTTTTTCTCTCCCAGCTTCTGAGGACAGCTCTCATTGTTCAGAAATTCCCAAAGTGCGTGCTTCAACTGAGACAAAATTTGAGATTTGGGACCCTGAAGTAATTTAGACACATCCCTTGCCTACGTGTAATGCGTTAACGAGGAAGACAGATAAGTTTCCAAAGAAAGAGCAAATAAATAGGTGTGAGTGGAGGAATGGAAAAGAGAATGAAGAGTTAGTTTCGACACTAAAAATGAAGGTCAGGATATCATTTCCTGAGATATTGGAGGTCTAGACATGCGCCGTCCAATGCACTGTCAAATAGAGTACTTAATCAGCCATGTGTGGTAATTAAAATTAATTAAAACTAAAAAAAAATTAACTCCTCAGTTGTGCTAGCCACATTTCTTAGGCTCAGTGGGTGTATGTGACTTGTGTCTTTTGGACAGCCTAGATACAGAACATCTCCATCACCACAGAGTTCAATCGGACAGCTCTGTTCTAGACCAGTGATGGGGACCGATTTGGGCCCCCAGGGGACATTTGGCAATATCTGGAGACATTTTTGGTTGTCACTCCTGGGGATGTGGGCTGCCAGCATCTAGGGTAGAGACCAAGAACACTGTAAACATCCTGCAGTGCAGCCTCCACCTCCACCCCAAAGAACTAATCGTTTGGCTCAGAATGTCAGGAGTGCCAGAGTTGAGAAACCCATGTAAGACTATAAACTTCTCTAAAATAGGCACTAAGCATATTATTCACCATATCACCAGCACCTAGCAGAGAGCCTGGAGCATAGCAGAGCTTAATGTTTATTAAAGTGTCTGCTGTGTAGGTGTCAACTTGTATCTTTTCTTTTTCCACAAGACCTGTGCTCTTGAGTTCATTCTATTTTGCCCCTAGCCTGAGAGATCTCTTCTGTGCAGTTGAGGTGATCTTGAACATCTAGAGTCTCTGGGTGATGACAGTAGTTCCTTGGGCCTTTGCAGGGATTCCTTTTGGTTCAAAGGAAAGCCTAAAGGATTTGTTCAAATTGGGTAGTTGTTCAGGTTTCCCCAAACTGATCAGAATCCCTGAAGTGGGTATTGCTCTAGCACTGGCCCTTTGCAGGCTGGGTGTTGCTATTGATTGTCACTATTGGGTGACTAGTGTTCGTAGACATACTGGAGTCGTACATGATGTCCAACGGCACTATATATGGCATGCAAGGGGATCCCCCAAACTTGTAAAGTATATAATGTAACTTCTTTAAGAGAGTAATACATGCTCAAAACAGGAAGTTTAGGAAACTTGGAAAGCAAAAGGAGAAAAGTCACCTCTAATCCCATGATCCAAAAATAACCACTACTATCATTTTGGGATATTCTCTTTTTAATAAAATTAGAGCCCAATGTACATATTGTAGCTTTTCCCCTCATGTATTAATATAGGTATTATTCTACAGTGTGGTTTTTTTATTTTACCTAACTGTATAGTTAGTCTAGAACTTTTTTTAAAGTGCCAAGGGCTTATCACATTCCTGGAACTCATTAGCATGTTTTCTATTTTTGGCTAGGCATCTGCAGTACACATATAAACAAGAGGAACATTGAGGGAACAGATCTCTTATCCCTTGTATTTTCCATGACTCAGCTTGAGAAACCCTGCTTTGTTTCTGCAGTCAGTATTAGTGGTCCTCCTATAAGAAATCCTTTCTGATTTCTTGTATTAACTACTATGAGCAGCTTAGACTGGATACCTTCAGGTAGTAATTGGATGATTGTAAGAAGGCAGTCTATCACTAGTGTCTAAATCATTCTGGAAAGGGAGGTCAACCCCCAATAGTCTGGGGGTTGGAGATGGGCTGGCCTTAATTTGAAGAAAACAAAGGTGAGGGTGAGACTGGAAAGGGATAAAGAACCAGGAGTTGGGTGTGGAGATGGAGGGTGACAATATAGAAAAGTCCACACATATATATGTGTGAAAATATTTAGAATTAAAATACAGGTGAATTCTTATTTTTATCTAAATATTCATATATCCAGTGTGAAAGGAAAGGAGCGACACACAACAGCAATTCACCGGAGAGTTCCGCTTTATTAGGGAAAGGTGCTGGGTTATATAGGAGGGGGCATGAATTGATTGAGGTGTCACTTCTACGGGGCTGGTGGTTGTTGGCTAGGTGCTGGGATTGGGAGAGGGGCGAGAGGTGATTGGGCTTCAGGTGGCGCCGGCGGGAACTGAGGACCCCGAAGAGAAGCCGGAAGTTTGCCATCTTGCTGGTGGGGACCCTTCATTCCCCCCTTTCTCCTCTATGGGTTTGTGGACGTTGCTTTCTCTCTGGCTGCTTCCTGCTGAACAGGGGTGGAGAAGGGAGTGAGGGCTTGAGGATTGGGAGGAAAGGGTTGATAGGACTCCCCGCAGTAAGGACGAGTAGATGTGGACTTCTTCAGGTTTGGAAATCAATGAAGGTTCCCTGTAACCATAGGTTGGCCAAGAGGATATGGGTGTCAGGAGCCAGGCGTCTGCGGCTATTGTTTCCAGGAACAGTTTCCAGTGGAGAGAGGGGTCCATCTCAGCGTGTGGTGAGGAGGTCACGTGAGGGTGAGGGATCTTCTGTGGCCAGAAGCTGGTAGTTCCTGAGTAAAAGCTGGTTGAAAGCTTGATTAGAGATTTTTCTGACTTGGGATTTGATGAACTTTATTATACAGGGTAAGAAGAGACAGGCGAGAAGAATGATTATTATGGGGCCTGCAATGGGCCAGAGCCAGGTGAGGAGGGGGTTTGTTAGTATTGAAGAGAATGGGTTGGAATTGGAAGCAGAGTGGAGGCTGGAGGCAAGGTCGGTGAGTTTGGTAATGTCAGTTTCTACAATGCCGGATTCGTTGATGTAATAGCAGCACTCTTCCCAGAGGAAGACGCAGGTGCCGCCCTTCTCGGCTGTAAGCAGATCTAGGGCCCGCCGGTTTTGAAGGGTGACTTTAGCTAGCGAAGTGACCTGTCTTTGGAGAGAGGCTAGGGAATCGGCAGTGGATGTCAGGGCTCCCTCAAGTTTGGCGTCGAGATCTCTAACTGCCCATAGAGAGTGACCCAAGGCTTCTCCCGAAAACCCTGCCCCAATGGCTGAGGTGATCAAAGAGCTACTGACCATGATGGGAAGGAAAGCAGCTCTTTTTGTGCGCGAGGGCAAGGGAGGTTGGAGCTCAAGAAATTCTGCCATGCTGTAAAGTGTTAACTGTGGGATTAGGGTGACGAGAATGCAGGGTGTATCGGAGTTGAGAGGCAGTGAGTTGAAAAGACTGCTATTACACTAAAAGAAGTGTCCCGGTTGCGTAAAAGTCTTAGAGCCGGAGGTAGGGGTGTAGATAGAGAGGCAGTGAAGTGCGCTGGAGGGGGGTGGAGTTGGGCCTACACAGTGGTGGATGGTGAGATTATCTGCGTATTCTGGTTCCCATAGGGGTATGTCTGCCAGGGGGCAGAGGGGTTGTCTTTCTGCATGGAAGGAGTAGTTGGAAATATTAAGGGGCACGGCGGCCAGCAGTGGGCGCTGTAGTGATGCGCACAAGAAACAATTGGCTGTGTTAAGGGTGTGGTTGAGAAAGATGGTGGTGTCCTGAATGAGCTGTAATGAAGAGTAGGAGAAATGGGAAGAGGGGTGGGGATAAGAAGATGAAGAGGCGCCGTCAAGAGTTTGGATAATGACTTTTTCGGAATGTCTGATATCTGATGCAACTTGAGAGATCTGGGAATGAGAGGGAACATACTTTCGAGAGATATGAAGGGTACCGTGGGGGGTCGAGGACCCCCCGTAGTAAACTGAGGCTGTGACTCTGGCAGCCCATCGAGAGTCCCAGGGATCTGGGATTGATAAGGAGAATGAGCCGTTGGGATATTTCATGAAACGGTTGGAGGAGTAATACTGTGGGTACTGGAAGTTACCCATGTAGTGAATGGCGCAAGACTAGTAGGGACATCTCCTGTAGGTGTCTGGCCATCGCCTGCAATAGGCTTGTTTTTGGTCATAGAGGAAGCAGAGGTAGGGAGAATAAGGGTAGCTGCTAGTGAACACTTCGGTGGAGGGAGGAAAGTGGAGGTATAAAGGCTCAGAGCAGCTTTTCAGAGGGCAGTCTGGTGTGGCAATGAGGGCAGTAACTTTTGTTTGATGCTGTGTGTAAGTCTGTCTGACTTTGAATCGCCATACAAAGGAGGCTGGGGTGGTGGGGAAGACAATAGGAATGAGGAAAAAAAGCGAGAGAGCAGTAAAGGAGGAAAAAGTCATGATTCGGGTATGGATGGCAAAGGGGGTGAACGGGATTTTGGAGGAAAGAGGACAGTAAGGTCAGGAGTCTGGAGGGAGGGAGAGTCTGTAAACTTTTGTAGGTTAAGAGATCTTTTAGGTGATGTGGGGACAGAATGGTAAGGGGCGCCCTGAATGTCAGTTTATGAGCTTCTTTCTGCAAGAGCTGTCTAGCGGCTAATGCTCGTAGGCAGGGGGCCCATCCCTGAACTGTGGGGTCTAATTGCTTGGAGAGATAAGCTACTGGGGCAAAGGATGGGCCATAATATTGGCCTAGGACTCCTAGAGCTTGACTGGACCTCTCATGAATGTATAATGAGAAGGGCTTCGACAAATCAGGAAGATGGAGAGCTGGGGCTTCCACAAGGGCTTGACGGAGCTTAATGAAGGAGTGTCGGGGTGAGGAGGATAATGGTTTTTTAGGGGGGCTCTTGCTGAGGTCGTATAGGGGTCTTGCCAACAGGGAGCAGGGAGAAGTTAGGGATCTACGCTCTAAAATATCTAGCCAGGCTTAGAAAGGAAAGGATTTCTGTCTTGGTTTTGGGAATGGGCAGGTCAGAGAGGAGCCATTTTCTGTCTAAGGTAATGGACTTTCTTTGTTGAGATAGAAGGAATCTGAGGTAAGTGACAGGAGGGGA